CTGGCTTCTTGCCAGTGGTTGTTGTAGTTGGGGAGCATAATGAAAATAACTTGAGGTTAGAAAGAGAATGTACAGCGGATGTAACAGGAGGAAACTGTATATGCTAGCGTGAAAATGTGGGGATCAAATTATGCAAATAAGTCAAACTGGGTTTGGGGATATATAAAGTAAGATGAAAGTTATGATGAAAAATGCAAAAATATATATTTGGGTGATAAACAACGCTAACAATGATGTGAAAAATTATAACAAGTAAAACAAAAACTTACGCAATTGACACGAACCGGTTTTCGAAATATTATCCTTTTTCAAGTGTCGAGGAATGGTTATGTAAGGGCAATAACTCATACTAAATATTTTTCATTTCTTCTGATTTTCAATAGGGTTCATCCTTGGGTGATTACGAACATTCACACCAAGTTTCATCAAAACCCTTCTAGAGTGATTACGTCCGTCCGTCCGTCCGTCCGTTGGTTCGTGCACAATTGCTCGTAAACACTCTAGAAGACACAATTCTTGACTGATTTCGACGAAACTTGGTATAGTTGTTTGTAATCTCCCAAGGATGAATCCCATTGAAAATCAGAATAATCGAGTGTTTACGAGGTAAAAATTGAACGCGTTTTCAAGAACAAGGGCAATAAGTTATACTAAATATTTTTCGATTCTTCTGATTTTCAATAGGGTTCATCCTTGGGTGATTACGAACACTCATACCAAGTGTTATCAAAATCTGTCAAGAATTATGTCTTGTAGAGTGTTTATGAGCAATTGTGGACGGACGGACGGACATGGGTGACGGTAATATACGCGCCCCATTTCATGTGGGCGTATAAAAACATTCTTTTAATGAATGTGGTCTCTTAGAAGAGTATTGGGTCAGGGAAAAAGGTGTCTTGGTTTCTCCGACAAGTCATTGTTATACACCCACATGAAATGGGGGGAGGGGGGTTGGGTGGTATATTGCCGCCACACATGTCCGTCCGTCCGTCCGTTGGTTCGTCTACAATTGCTCGTAAACACTCTAGAAGGCACAATTCTTGACTGATTTCGACGAAACTTGGTATAGTTGTTTGTAATCTCTCAAGGATGAACACTATTGAAAATCAGAATAATCGAAAAATATTTAGTTTGAGTTATTGCCCTTGTTCTTGAAAACGCGTTCAGTTTTTAAAGTAAGCGCACCATGTTATTTCACCATGTTATGCGGTGACTGCCTTATTCTTAAAATCCCAAATCAAATTTTTTAAGTGTTTCAGTTATGTTATTGGTCAATCTATAAAATCTAACTTTAACACGTTTCATTCATATTAAAAATCCCTCACCCTAATCGGTAACTTGACTTTTCAGTGGCGTAATAGGGGGGAAGGGGAAATATTTTCTACTTTCACTGCCAATATCGCGTTAGATGCATTCTCCGCCTTCCTAGATCAGAAACTTTTCCACTCCCCACTGAGACTAATACTCTTCCCTAATAATTGACTTCATTATTGTATCGTGTATTGCAACAAGAAGGGTGTCTATCACCTTAAAATCGTTTGCTAAAAATTCGATGCCATTTATTCAGATTAATTAACAAACGATGACAGCTTACGAAGAGAGTGACAAAACACCGACAAACAAAATCTGATCTTTTGTATCGATTGGAAATTGGAGTTACCTCCCCTACACCCTTCTCCTTGCAACTGTAATATTTTGTAACCAACAGAACATATATACGAACGGGCCTGTTGGAGGGCAGACTGGTTT